CCTCCACTCCCAGCCCCTATCTCAACACACACTTGCACAACACTACAGACGTGTGTGAGAGACAGTCTGAGTAGTGTGCTTGTGCCTGGTTTTCCAGATCAATGATGTGTGGTTAGGTGATCGATGTGAGGGCTTAGTGGACTGGAGAGAGCTAATGGGCAGGTCAGCGGCTCAGACACATCCTGGCTCCCCCTGCCTATTATCTCTACGTCTGTTAATAGGCCTCACCACACTCCCCTGTTGCTCGTGCACACATGTACACAGACACCCTCACAGTTGGAGGGCGACAGGAGGAAACACACCCGTGCCTATCCACTCCACACCACTCCTCTCTGTACTCCTGCTTCATCTCAAGCCTTTACTACACATTTTATTTACTTTTTGTCCACTGTGATCTTTGCACCGATTTATGCTGCAGAAACAAAACATGAGTTTGCATATGGATATGTGGGAGTACAGCCATGTAAAGCAAGAAACGGGTGTATTCACAATGTCTTTTCTTTAAAGTCTTAAACATACAGGCCTGAAGACAACCAAATAACTGCATTTTTAATTAATTATTAAATTATTAATTTAATACTAGGCCTGTCACGATAACACATTTTGCTGGACGATTAATTGTCTGAGAAATTATTGTGATAAACAATAATATTGTTTGAAATTTGACAATAATTAGTAATTATTAGTAATTATGGTCAAATTTAAAAAGAAATGTTGGTTGATTTGTTTTGAGGGTAGTGCCTTTTTTTGACCACTGGATGGCAGTATAAGACTGTTTGAACTGAAGAATGGATAGTGAGGGAGCGAGCAGCGTGTCTCTTTAAGGAAAATGGGAGTTTGGCCCCTTGACGTGACATGGGCTGTCTCTCCTTCCTTTTTTCGGTTCTCAAAATGGCGGACGCTCAGTGTGGTTTAAACTCTTTAGCATAGCATTTGTCATACAAAGCTTTTAATAAAAAAAAATCAGTAAGCAAGTTCTCAGCTTCTTTTTGCAGAGAAAAACAACTTTTTACACAAAGGCATAGGTTTTAACTGTGAATTTTGGAGCTTCGACAAGACGGAGGTTTTTGCCCCGAGGTCGACCAGTTAGCTTAGCTCGTAGCTTAGCTTCTCAGCTTAGCTGCTTTTAACGATCCAAAAATGTGATTTTGGACAGTTAAATGGATTTTAAAGAGAAAAGATAAAGGGAGGGGTCAGTGAAGAGCACTAGAGTTGAACCTTTTGTCATCCAGTGTCTTCAGTAGAAAGAGAAACATGAAGAAATGATAAAGCTGATAAATGAAAATGTTGATAATTTTCATTTATTATACAATTAATTGATTTATTGTTTATCACGACAGGCCTAAATACAGCCATGTAAAGCAAACGCAAAACAGGCAATGTCAAAATTTACCTCGTCGTATTTGGCTGAGAGGTAAAGGCTCTCAGTTAGGTCATTAAAAGAAATGTTTGGGGAGATGATGTACATGTAGTCTAAAAGACGAAATTGTAATCAATCGTGACATAGAAATAATGGTATTACTGTGTACATTATAATTTATTTGTGCTTGCTTTGTTTTGTCAGTTTTACTGAATCATGTGAAAAATCAGACTTTTACATCAAATACAATTTCATTTTATAACGACATATGCAGACATTGCAATTATGTTCATTTTTTTATAATGATGGTGTTGGGATTCAGGTTTGCCTTGTTATTGTAATAAATAATTTGATTGATACATTGATTACATGCTTTTTTTCCTGTTAAAGTAACTACAATTTCTGCAATAAAAACTAGATATTTACTATTTGTTATTGTCGTACTATTGACCAATCAATCCGCTGAGAAATAATATCCAAAAATAGTTCAATCAATTAGTTGCCCCTTCATCCATTTTTCTTTATCATCCATCTGTTTAGGTGAGCTTTGCTCATTTACCTTGCCGCAAGAGAAGACAACAGGGCATAAATTGAGGCAAATGACCACAGAGGCAGAATTTTCTACTCTTCCACTTTTTTCTTTTCATTTGTCGCTCTGCCTCTTTCTCGATTAACTTGCCACTTGTGCAGATCCTCTTCTGTCTTCTGTGTGGCATCTGATCTGCATGTTAATTACCTTTCAGTCACCTCTCTTAATTTAATATCTGGCTGTATGGGAAGAATGTGGAGCACGTACCTCAGAGGTATAGCATAATATGCTCTCCCAGCTCTCAGGCACACATGAGCACACGCATCCAAAGACAGGCCCATCTTTTTTGCTTCTCTTAGATTTTTTGGTTTGTGCGCTTTTCTTGATTTCACACGTGTCAAAGTTTGGCAAGGGAAACAAAGGTAAGTGGTAATCCAGCGTAGCCTCATCAAGTAAAGATCTTCTTTTACAAGAAATAAAATATCTGCAGTTTGAATGTATCTCAAGCGTCACTTTCTAAACCAGTCATTCTGAGTGTAAACACTTTGTGCACGTTGACACAAACTTGACATGTAGACGCTCAGAAAAATAGGTCTTTTCAACAGAGCCAGAAAGAAATGCGACTTTGCCAAGTGTGTGATCATTTGACAATTCTAATAATTATAACTATTACGATAAAACTTCCCCAATGCGCGCACACGCACTCTCACACACGTTTGCTCCCTTTCTCAACCATGCAACAAGGCTGTGTCTCTGGTGGCTGATAGATTGTAATGAATGTAACAGCAGTCAGATCCTTGAAAAGCCTCTCAAAAGCTTAAGCCCCTTTATTAAATTAAGCTAACGATGCCTAAGGCCAAGTCTGCTGCTGAGAGAGGGAGAGAGAGAGAACATGGTGGGGAGAAGAGAATAAGGAAGGTGGTACAAAGAGAAGCAGAGGCTGCAAAAAAAGGGAGGAGGTGTTATAGAAGCATGTGAAATGGCACGCAGTGAAACCACCGAGAGATGGTAGGAATGGGGGCAAGTTTAGTATCAAAGAAAGGTGGCGTGGAAGGTGAGGAAGAAAAGGCTGGTGAAGGAGAACAGGTGGAGGAGAGGAGGAATACCCCGCAGACTCCTGGAGTTTTACAGCCGTGCACCTGCAGCTAAGAGGAGGAATTGTAATTATGTAAAAGCTCATTGTGAGAGATTCACAGTTTAAGTGTGTATTTTTGGAAGCGTGCACTGTTGCCAGAAACTGCCGATGAAAACTGCAAATGTTTAACCACTCCGCGTTTAAATGGGGCAAGTGTTTTGGAACCGTCTTCACACTATTTTGGTTGCATGTTAATTACGTGGCGTGCTAAATGCTGAATCTCTGTAGCTTGATGTGGCTGGTAGGATAATTCGCACAGTAACCTCAAGAAACGGAACAATTTACAGATGCAAAATTATGTATTTTGCATCATATGAATCTGCATTTTTCATTCAAATAGATTTCCAAGTGTCCTTTGGGTTTAATCCAGACCCAAAATGACAACAGTTAATAATGTGATTATATCTTTACATAATTAATAACATAATTTAAATGATTTTGAACTGACCCTAAACTGATATTTTTCATTCCTACACAATGATATGGAGCTTATCATATAGCAAAACAAATTAATGAATAATCCTGTGATGGCAAAAACAGTAATTTTGTATTGATACCATATTCTTGACAGCAATGACTAATCATCACAATTGACTGAAGACTAATTGCTCGTTTGTGCTTTGTGCTTTAAAAAGCATTGACAAGATTACTACATTAGTTAAGATATTTTAATGGGCAGAAGATTATTTGACTCTCTAAACACAAAGTGAGACTCTGCAGAGCTGCCATGTGTACAGACATCAGACACAACCAAGGCTGGGTTGTGTTGCATTATTAGTTGGGATGCCTCTTCTACCAGCTTTCTCTTACAGGTAAAGCGGAAATTGAGAATACAGTTTCACTTAAATGAAAGACAAAACACACAGACACTAAAAAATGAGACCAGTTGCCTAAATGAGATCACTGTCTTAGTTCAATAGTTATTTTCACTACCCTGCTGCTCACTGTAAGTTCATGGAAGTGGGATGCTGCATGAAATGCACACAATATACATTTAAGCTTGCATGTGCACAAAAAACAAAGGTTTCACCTTACCTCTTTACCAGTCATTACCTGCTTAATCCTCATTTTCATGCTTGGCATTGGAACAAAAGCCTGCATTTAGTGCTTACAAGTGTAGCTTTGATTTTACACCCTGAGCAGTCAGTGGTATCTAATCCATGGTAAAACAATTGATAAGCCAGGCAGGCAGAGCCTGGCTGTCAGATAATTATTCTGTGCTTTTTATGGTTGACTGTCCCCTTGTGGTCACTTATTAGAACTACACCCCTCTTTACTGTACACTACTGTTATTTGAAGGCAAAACAAAGGAGTCTTAATCCTTAATATCTCTTTAATATTGAAAAGAATAACACAAATTTAGAATAAGTGAGCTAAATTTATATTTATTCATTAAGTCGTCTGACCACTAAAGTCAACTGTGACAGTGCTGATCCTGAACTGTCTTGAGACAATGCATTAATTAATTATTTATTAATAATATTATGCAATCGTTTTAATTAATAACTGGCAACACGTTGGGCTCAGATCAAATGTGTTTTTGATTGGGACATGTGAGCAAAAACAACACGCAGAAACAAACACCAATAATTAATGTTGCTTGTAGAAACATTAATATACCACAGATGCTCTTTTAATTATTTAGCCAATTTGGTTAATAAATGAATCCAGCGATTTCTCCTCACTGGATGTTAGATGCGCTCGTTTTTGATGTTCAGGAAGTGACAGTTGTTCTTCCTGGTTGTTGGGGAGTTAATGGATGGGGTGTTTTAGGGATGAGGATGCGGGATGAGCCCTCCGGACTGGGAGGCGTGACGGGGTCAGCAGGTGCTTCACCCCCGCCCCCTCCTCACCAGACCCCGGCCACCGACCTGTCTGTCTGCTCCGTCTGTCTGTCCGGCCCCCGCCGGAGAGGAAGCTCCACCTCCCGGCTCCCAGCAGCCGGCTGCCCGCCTCTCTCCTCGGCTCTCAGTCCCTGTGGCCTCGCTCGGCGTCGGAGCTTCCTGACAATAAAAGTGCAGCGTCTGTGTTCTCGACGGAAGGATGGCTCCGAGTCCTCCCCTCTAACGCAAGGATACTTTTTTTTTTTTTAATCATTCATGAACGCTGGTGGAATAAAACACTTGTTTGCGGTGAGTGATTCAGAGTAAATCTGTATTAATATAAATATATAAAAAAAACCCGGATGTTGTTTGTGTCAACGAGCAAGCACGCGGCGGCGGTTTTGTTGAGGAAGTCATTACCATATCGAGGAAACGGGTCTATTTTTCTTTAATTTTTTAATTAAATTTTTTTAATTATTATTATCGAAAGTCGGTGCCGAGCCGTCTTGCGCGCGAGTGCATGTGTGCGCGCGCGTGCTAACGCGTGAACGAGGGACAAGATAGAAAAATAATAGGGCGCCTCCGGCTCCTTCTGAGGTGACCATTTAAGCTCGATTATTGTATTTTCAAAGATTTTTTTTTTCTTAACGTGCTCGTGTTTTTATATCTTTATAAACGCAGCTGGAAGCTCTGTAAAAAGCATAAACAGGCGACCCCCACCCCCTCAAATTAACTTCCCCAAACGTTGTTGCCGGCGCTCGAGGGTCTCGTTGTTTCTTCAGCTTATAAAAACTGCATTGTTGGCTTTTGTTGGTGCGGAGTCTCCAGTCAGACTGGCTCCTTTCGAACGGCTGTCTGGTCTGAGCTGCTCCCTCTGAGGAGCAGGACTGGAGGAAATGCCCCCCGTCCTCCTCCTGGAGGAGCAGGACGGGAGGAAATACCCCTGTCCTGGAGGAGCAGGACGGGGGCATTTCCTCCTTGTAGTTGTGACTGACTGCCACAGTGACGTCACGCGGTCTGACCGTTTGGTGCTCTCAGGGTGGAGGCTTTGACCCCACGTGTGTGTGTGTGTGTGTGTGTGTGTGTGTGCGTGCGTGCGTGCGCGCGCGTGGCAGGTGGACCGTGTTGAATCACTTCCCACGCGCTCCTTCACTTCTTTTGATCCGCACGCGCGTACAACAGCTGCTCACACGCGGATGGAGCAACAGGCTGAGTTTTATCAGCAGCCAGAAGGAGCCTTGCTGTGTTTTAGCTGCTGATAAGGTTAGCCATAACCTCAAGAGCAGGAATTGAAACTTTTTATTTTTGATTTTTATTATTCTGTCTTTTTTTTTCTTTCTTTCTTTTTTTTTCTGTCCATTGTATGTAGTGGGTATTTCACGTGCTATCACTCTTCTGCTACAACCTTCTGTTTATTCTTTATGTTTATGTTTATTATGAGATATCTCTCCAGTTTTAGCTTCTCTCCATTGGCTCCCTATCACATTGAGAATAGAGTTCAAAATCTTACTTCTGACCTACAAAGCCCTCAACAACCTAGCTCCATTGTATATTACAGATCTTATTGTTGCATATTTTCCTAACAGAGCACTTCACTCTCAGATTGCAGGCTTACTTGCGGTTCCTAGAGTTTCCAAAAGCAGAATGGGAGGAAGATCTTTCACTTATCAGGCTCCTCTCTTACAGAACCAGTTTCTGTCCATAAAGCTGACACATTGTCCAGTTTTAAGACCGGGCTTAAGACTTTTTACTTTTTGATAAATCCTATAGTTAAGGTTGGTTTGTTATGCTGCTTTAGTCTTGGCCTACTGGAGAGTAAACTTATCTCATTTACTTTAAAAGAATTTGAAATTGAATAGTTTTCATTTGATATTTGTTTCTTAACATGTGATTCTCGACCTGCCATTGTGTATCTGTTCCTCCTTCCCGTTCCTCTCAAACCCAGCCGGTCGAAGCAGATGTTTGTCCTGAGCCTGGTTCTGCTAAAGGTTTCTTTCTCATGAGGGTTTTTCCTTTCCACTGTTGCCTTCATGCTTGCTCAAGAGGAGAGTCTGCATCGATGAAGTTAAACTCGCATCAGTCTGCTCCTCGGATAATTAAGTGTTAAATTATTATTTTTATATATGAATGTTTCTGTTCAGTACCCTGCGATAACTTCTGTTGTGCCTTGGTGCTACATAAATAAACTGAATTGAATTGAAAGTTTTTTCGGTTATCCTCTAATAAATAAATGACAGAACATTGGGAAAGAAATGGGGTAGAACAAGCTGCAAGACTCGGTTTTAGGTGCTTTTGAAAATTAGTGAGGACACAGTGACTGTAGGAAAACAACAGGTGGTGTTTTTTAATTTTGCTTTAGTTTTTTTTTTTTTTTTAGCACAAGTTTCATCACACACAGTGAAAAGGATCATTCAAATTCTTTAATTCAACACGAATTTCTTTCATATTTTCACATCTATTTTATAAAAGTTTTAACAGTGAGACTAATAATGTGTAAACGCAGAGTTTGTTCGATACAAGGTGTCAAAATGTCTAATATTTTGCACAAACTCCTGAATTTCTAGGATTCTGGGGTACTCTGTGCAGTATGTCCACATTTAAGACGAGACAAGAGAGAACTTTATTGATCCCGCAGGAAATTGTTGTGCCAGAGTTTCAGTACAAAGGAACATAAACAAGGAATCACACAAGATATAGAAAATAACAGAGACGGTAAAAATATCAACAATTAAGTTCTATGTTTCATGTGTACATTTTCTTAATTAATTAATTTTGTTTAGGCATATTTACAAGACTTTTTGTTTAGGTTCGAAGACTGCAAACATCAGTCTTTTGACAGTCATGTTAAGATCTTGATCCAGATGAAGTCGGGGGTGTTTTCATGATTTATCTACAGCTGAGGTCAAAGTGAAACTTCCGTTAGCAGCTTCACCACTGAAAGAATTTAGCTTTCTTACCGGAAATCAACCGCATGAGCACAAAACCCAACCTGACATTCAGCGTTTTCAGATTCATCTGATTGCCACTTGCGTTTCTTAAACGTTTTAAAACTACACGTCATTTAATTATTTTTTTTTTTACGAAGTGAGTAGTAAAGTTATCGGTATGTTCTAATCTTCGGGTTAGTGTTTCTGGAATCTTATCGGTTGGACAAAAAAAAATTGTTTAATATTTTCTTTCATTGTTTTACAAGACTCTTCTTTTTAGGCTTCTCGGCTCCATTTAAATACGCGGACATTTACTTTTAAAATTCTGTTTCGCATACCACGGGTACAAAGCATTCACGCTTTGATAACATTTCTAACTTGGTGGCCCAGAAGCAGTTCAGGAAGCTGCTAAACCACAGATGGTAGTTGGAAGCATACAAACCAGCACTGGTTTCTGTAACTACCAGTAATATGCTTCCAGTCTGGTTTGGTTCACCTGATGTAGTTTTCACAGCGTTTGTTTTCATCGTCGGCTTATGTTGTATATTTAATTTTGATTAACAGAGAGCAGAAAGTATTAAAGTGTATATTTATTGTGAGGTGTAATGTGCTGCAGTTACTTTCAATGTTTAGGGATGCACGATATTATCAGCATGGTACCGGTATCGGCCGATATTGGCGATAAAGTTAAATATCGAACATTTGCCATTCCATCAAAATAACTCTCCAATATAAAAGGTACTGTTTTTTTTTGTTTTTTTAATATATATTATATATTTATATAGTGTTGCATAATTTTCAGCCCCCTTTTTTGGCATCTGCATTTGGTAGCAGGCCAAATTGACAAGGACCATGCAGAATAATGTATTTTAATTCCACAGCAGAGAAAGCTATGTAGTCTCTGTAAGTAGGTCTAGGGAAAAATATTGGTATCGGTTATTGGCCAAATAAGTTTGGATATCGGCCAAAAATCCAATATCGTGCATCCCTCCATTCTGGACAGGTTATAAGTCGAGAAAAACTGTTAATATCCTTAAATATGTTTTCCAAATAAGTATCCATTTTTACATTGTAACTTGCTGATTTCTTAACACTGCTTGCATAAAACTCCTGCGTGAATAAAAATGTTCTTATTTGTCAAACATGTTTCCAGGAAGAAGGAAAAAAAAAAAAAAAATTTTTTGGCTTCTTATCAGAGTATTTAACCATAATATAGGGCTTCCGGTCATAATAAGCAGTATTTCCCACAAATCTACTGAAATTATATTACAGTGTGATTAGCTGTGCACATCCCTGGATATAACACGTGCTCTTTAATTCAAAAGTCAACTCACAAATCTCGTATTACATGAAAATAATCTCAAAGCGCATTATGTTTCTCTTTGTCTTTATTATGAATCTTTTGGACCAGCGGTGGTGATTCATATCACGGCCACTTTAAGGATGTTGCATCTGCTCGAGGCTACTATCTGGTCGGCCATGCAGCCTCCAGGATGCGTAGTACACCCACTCAGCTACAGCAAGACTTGATTAGGATGAGGCTAAGTCCAGGTTGCGTAGTGAAGTTTGGACAGCGCTGTTATTTATTTAATGACATTATCCTTTGTAACGAAGACCATAAACCAAATAAGATTATCTGATCGTCTGCTGCCTATCTGCTAAACCAAGAAATGTGAACTTTCTAAGCAGAATTAAATGACCAACTTTCTTGTTGGATTTACCACCTCTTGACTTTCGTGTGCCTGTGTTAATGATAAGAGTTTCAGATGACATGCAAATCTTGCTTTGAGGAACAGAACTTTTTTCCTCTTGTAATCTACCGTTAAAAGCGTCTTAAACCTTTTTGTAGCACAATGCTGCTTTTACCAAGTTGGCATGTTTTCAGGTGTCGTTGCTCTGTTTGTCATGCTGCCGTAGCCTGCGGTGCTGTGAAGTCTGGGGGGGCGAGACAGCAGCTGTGTGGAGCAGAGTGTCTGTGACAGTTTGTCTGTGGCAACAGCACCTGGCTCTGTTTAGAGAGTGATTAGGAGAGTCCCAAGCAGCTCCCTGTTCTGTTTACACAAGGAGCCTGGAGTTAAAGGTGACCCACTTTGCATTTACTTATCAACGGCCCACATTGATAGCTTTGAATAGCACAGAGTGTAGAGGGACCTTTGCATGGGTTTACATAGCACCCTACAGGAGAGAAGAGGATGCGTTTGACTGGGCGAGGCTCAGCTTTATGTCCTCAGGTGGTATGAAAATGTGGGAGCATATACCAGGTAAGGGTTTTTATGTGGTCTGCTTGTGCACTGGGAGAGAAACCACTGTAGGTTGCTTATAAAATAAGGGCTTTCCTCCGTCTTTTCTGCCATCTTGCTTCTCTCAGTCCGTCTTCCTCTT